GAAGAATGTGGCAGAATAGACCAAAGTGCCTTTGAGATTGATGTGGTACTTTTTCTTTGCTATATACATTATCAACATATTCATAGAAATCAAATGCAATTTCTCATGTTATCGGTTCATTATCAACAAATTCGTAAGTTATACAACAAATTCTCCGCACTTGGGGCCTTGGGGTTAACATCAGTAGCTTGGGGTGCCTCTTAGGGGTGGCGACTAGTGGAGAACCTCGTGTGGCATTGTTGTAGCTCTGGCTGCAAGTCCATATGGATCTTGTACAACGAAGATGTGCAACAACAACACGTGGGAGGCGCAATGGTGGAGAACCATAGTTGTGTCGCTACAACTCCGTCTCCCAATTAGTGCGGCTCGTCTGAGGTAGACAAGGTATGACGAGTACTGAATTTATTAGCAAATGTTAAGACAAGCAAGGTGATCTCTGAAAGGTTCTAATATGGCTAGAGAGGAGGTGAATAGCCTATTTAAAAATCTACAAATCAACTAGAGCAATTTGATTAGTATGATAAATAGCGAAATACAAACTTGCTCTAGCTCTACAAGGGTTGCAAGCCACCTATCCAACAATTCTAGTTGCAATGATTACTAGGCACACAACTTGCAATGTTACTATTTACTAAGAGCTCTCTAATATGCTACTCTAAAGAGTTCCACTAGATGAACTTAAACTAACAAAGCAAGCTCTCAATTCTAATTACACTAAAGAGCTTGTCACAACTAGTTTGTAAGAATATAAATGAGTGAGTGGGGTGATTATACCATCGTATAGAGGAGTGAACCAATCACAATAAGAATACTAAATCAATCACCGGGAGAATTCCAAAGGGCAAGAGACAACCATTTTTTCTCCCGAGGTTCACGTGCTTGTTTAAGACGCTAGTCCCCGTTGTGTCGACCAACACTTGGTGGTTCGGTGGCTAAGAGGTGTTGCACGAACCTTGTCCACACAATAGGACACCACAAGAACCTATCCACAAGTGAGGTAACTCAATGATACGAGCAATCCACTAGAGTTACCTTTCGGCGCTCCACCGGGGAAGGCACAAAACTCCTCACAATCACCACAATCGGAGCCGGAGACAATCACCAACCTCCGCTCAACGATCCTCGCTGCTCCAAGCCATCTAGGTGGCGGCAACCATCAAGAGTAATAAGTGAATCCCACAGCGAAACACGAATGCCAAGTGCCTCTAGATGCAATCACTCAAACAATGCGCTTGGAATCTCTCTCAATCTCACAATGATGATGGATCAATGATGGAGATGAGTGGAAGGGTTTTGACTAAGCTAACAAGGTTGTTAAGTCAATGCAAATAGCCAAGAGAGTGAGCTTGAGCTGGCCATGGGGCTTAAATAGAAAGCCCCCACGAAATAGAACCGTTGGGCTCCTCACTGCACTGAACACGAGCCGACCGGACGCTCCGGTCATATTGACCGGACGCTGGACCTCAGCGTCCGGTCGTGCGATGTGCGCCACGTGTCATCGGCTTCAAACACCGATCGCCCGATTTCAACGGTCAAGTGATGACCGGACGCTGGACCTCAGCGTCCGGTCGTTTCCAGTAAGGTTCCAAACGTGAATTTTCACGACCGGACGCGTCCGGTCTTGCCCGACCGGACTCACCCAACGTCCGGTCACTCAACGTCTCCTCTATACGCCCGACATCAGCGTACGTCAGCACTGACCGGACGTACCCTACCAGCGTCTGATCACTTTTAGCGCCAGCATCCGGTCGAAGACTGAAACATGCGCCCTCTGCTGCCACTGACCGGACGCACCGGTCCAACCGAGACCAGCGTCCGGTCACATACAGTGACCTTCGTCTTCTCTGTCTACAGCGCCGGTGGCACCGTCAGACTGTCCGCACTCTACGGGCGGACACTCCGTCGGTGAAGTTTCCTACCCTTGCTCAAATGTGCTAACCACCAAGTGTATCACCTTGTGCATATGTGTTAGCTTATTTTCACAAACATGTTCAAGGGTGTTAGCACTCCACTAGATCCTAAATACACATGCAATGAGTTAGAGCATCTAGTGGCACTTTGATAACCGTATTTCAATACGAGTTTCACCCCTCTTAATAGTACGGCTATTTAACCTAAATGTGATCACACTTGCTAAGTGTCTTGATCACCGAAACAAAATAGCTCCTACTATTTATACCTTTGCCTTGAGCCTTTTGTTTTTCTTTTTCTTCTTTTCCAAGCTTAAGCATTTGATCATCACCATGTCATCACCATCGTCATGATCTTCGCCATTGCTTCATCACTTGGAGTAGTGCTACCTATCTCATAATCACTTTGATAAACTAGGTTAGCACTTAGGGTTTCATTAATTAACCAAAACCAAACTAGAGCTTTCAATCTCCCAATGTGAATTGATGTGAAACCACCTTTTGGCCGTTTCTAGCACCGCAGATGGGAAGGTGAAATGTTTTTGCTTTTTGAATTGGTATGCTCCAATCCTGTTTGGTTAGCACGGTTTCAGGTGATTCTAGTGAGAAACAAAAAACAAATTCGACTGTCCAAACGGAAATTGAGAACAAGTAACTTGCTTGGATGGTTTGATTGCGCCTTTTAGCTATCCAAACAATTTCAAGGTTTGATGGCCTATGTGGCTTATTAATGCAACTATCTTTTTAATGATATGTAAAATATAGTCTTCAATAGTGAGACACGTATAGTGGCTTCTTAATCTTAAAATATTTAGATCTAGTTTCCTACATACATTCTTAGGCATAAATATGCGTGTGCGGATGTTTAAAGTGTGTTTTAGAAAGAAAGAAAACAGACAACACATAAGGATTGTGAATTGCCTCAATAAAAGAATATGGCCAAACTTTAAAGCCATCCTCATGAAAAGTTAGAAACCAGAACTTCCGATTTTAACTGAAATTAAAGGGTGTGAAGGGGGTGTTTGGATCTATGGACTAAAGTGTAGTCAATGTTATATCGGATGTTCGGATACTAATTAAGAGAACCAAACACGAGCTAATTATAGAACTAATTACACAAATGAAGGCTAATTTGCGAGACAAATCTAGCAAGCTTAATTAATCCATCATTAGCACATGTTTACTGTAGCACCACATTGTCAAATCATAGACTAATTTTGCTTAATAGATATATATCGTGAATTAGTCTCATTTTGTATAATTAGTTTTGTAATTAATATATATTTAATACTTCAAATTAGTGTCAAACATTCGATGTGACATGCCACTAAACTTTAGTCTATCGCCGGCCCGAAAGAAAATACCCAGGATATCATTTGCCAATACATTGCGCGAGTCAGGAACGCCGTGTTCGAATGTTTGAGTAATGATAAGCTGAGTACCACGCAGCAAATGATCAATGATGGACTGGCTGCTGTGCTGTCGCTCACAGCTGCAGCAGAGAATCTACCAAACCCACGAGCCACGACGTTGGGAGATGACACTGCAAAGGTGCACGGCACCAACCTCCTGAATTCCTACGCAACAACTCTTCCCTGTTTCACAAATGGCATCTCATAGTTCCTAATTATCACAGGTGGATCCATTTTAACGTAACGTTGCTCTGGATGAACTATGATTAAATACTTTTGCTTTTCAACGAAGGCTACCGTCATCTCATCCGAAGTGTCAAAGGTACAGTGAGGGAATTTTGTGCAACCCTTTGGCATCTGGTTGAATTATGGTCAACCAAGACCGGCATCTTTACTAGTAGTAGGCTATGCTGCACACTTTTGACTTATCTCACAAGGAGCATTTTGTTGATGAATAATTTGCAACTTGTAGTTATAGCCGAAGACGCAATTATTACATTGAAAGTTGATGCTTTCGGATCAAGCAACCTTTGATATTCAAACTGTAACATTTTATCAAAAAAAAATAGAGCTTAGATAATTACGCCGCCATGTTTCATTCTTCTTCTGGTTACACCCATCCATATATAATCGATTCATGTCATAGTTAGGGATGCTGTTTCTCCTTGGCTCTCCGCTATAGTTACTGTGGTGGGTGTTTCACATGGTAAAATTGGCACCAGAGCAATTTCAACAGGTTGGCTAAAATTAGTAGTCAAATTCCATTGTTTAGCAATTTTATAAAATAGAAAAGTCCTTAAAAAAGGAGATCCACAATAGCCTTGCTATTTTACAAAGTTAGATAGCCAGCGCCTGTGGTTGGCTATATATATAGCCATCGAAAATTAAGGGATAACCATCTTTCTATTTTACAAAGTCAGATAGCACATCTGTTGGAGCATATTTTTTCTATACAAATTCTAAAATAGCCTCCACGTTAACAATAGTCAAGCTGTTCAAATGTCAACACACAAATGATGCACTGTAGTTGTAGCTATTTCGCTGACCAACAAATGTCCCTCTTGCAAGATGACATTTTTCTGACTTAATGTAAGGTGCTTCACAGAGCTAAATCACGCATGGGCATGGCCGCATGCTCTAAAGTGAGTAAAAGAAATGACAGGAAAATCATAGAGTAAATAAATGTAAAATGCATTACAAGTTATGCTTTTCAGCAAAATAAAAAAAAAACCATGATGATCTGCATCTGCTGATTGTTCAGTATGGAAAAGAGAGAGAAGTCTCCAAGAACAGGTTGATTGGTGATGGGCAATGGGATGGGATAACTGTGGGGATGTTGGAATCGAAGCTGTCGTCGTGGGTGACCGTGAAATACATCCAAAATAGGAGGAGCGACGTGGGAAAGCTCCCCGCGTCCTCCTCCTCCGCTCCCTTTCTCTCGTCGTCCAGGGATGCTTGCTCTCCGTCCCTCCGTCCCTCCCCCACCACCTGAGAAAGAAAAAAAAAAAGCCAAACCCACCACCGCCTGCCTCCGCGATTCCCATCAGCCCAACTAACCCGGAACAGAAGAGAAGAGCTCGCCACGCCACCGGTGGGATCGCCGGACACCTTACGCGCGGGGGCCTTGCCTTGGAATCCCCGGAATACACGGGGGCGTTGGAGGGAACCGAGGAGGAGCATGTCGCGGGTGGCGTCGCTGTCACCGTCCTTGTCGGGCGACGAGGTGGAGGTGGAGGAGGAAGAGGAGGACGAGGGCGTCGACGGCTACCGCAAGGGCGGCTACCACGCCGTCCGCCCCGGGGACCAGTTCGCCGCCGGCCGCTACGTCGCCCAGCGGAAGCTCGGCTGGGGCAACTTCTCCACCGTCTGGCTCGCCTTCGACGTCCAATCACAGGTAGGCGCGCCGCGCCCTCTGCTGGCCTCTTCTGCATGAGATCGCGCGCGGCATCTCCCCGCCCGCCTCCCCGGCGATCGAGGGGAGGGGCTAAAGATCGCCCGCCTTCCCCGTCGCGATCGCTCCCCCCTCCGCTTCGTAATGCGATTGCCCGCCTAGAATAGATCTCGCGCTTTGTCGATTAGCGGCGCACCGATCGATCGCTTGATCGGATCGCAAGTACCGCTCCCGCCTCGTGCGCCATGCCTGCCCTCGGGCCCCACGCGAGGCCAGGGGAATGGGCTTGGGATTGGGATTGCGACGGGGCTGTCGGATACTCACTCGGATTTTATAGGCTTCGTTTCACTAGACTAGGGATTCGGTTTGTCGTTTCTTTCCCCATTTGGGAGGGGAGTTTGATTCATCCGTTTGCCGCTGCCATTGGGAAAGCCTTTACTCTTTCGTAACAAAACAACCAGAACCAGGTGGGTTCAGTTCAGGTCTTACACGCTGGAGGGAAACAATGCCAAATTGAAGTTTTCATTTATTTTCTAGCAGTACAATACAAAAATAAATTCAGTTGCCAGTACCGGGGGCAAACTCTTTTAGGCCCTGTTCGCTTCTCTTGTAATCCGTACTTTTCGGTTGGTCTTTTTAGCCGGAACAGTATTTTTCCCTCGCAACAAATCAGCTGGAACAGTGTTTCAGCGTTTTTTTTCCAGCGAAGCGAACGGGGCCTTAATGTCCCTCTTTTCTCGTAGTAATGTGGCTTACGTTTAACTATAACCATGATTGTAATTATTGCTCTGGATACTCTGGTGTCTTTGACTAGAGTTGTGAAATTGGACAAAAGAAAAATCGAACATTGTTTTCACAAATGGTACTCTCCTTTCTGCAGAGATACGTGGCCCTGAAGATCCAAAAGAGTGCGCCTGAGTTTGCGCAAGCTGCTCTTCATGAAATCGAGTTCCTGTCAGAGATCACCAAGAGGGACCCGTCGAACTGCAAATGCATCATTCAGCTGGTAGATCACTTCAAGCACGCAGGGCCGAACGGGCAGCATATCTGCCTGGTCTTTGAGTTACTGGGAGATAGCTTGCTTAAGCTGGTACAGTACAACCGGTACAAAGGCATCGGGTTGGATAGGGTGAGGCGAATATGCAAGTCGATTTTGGTAGGCCTTGATTACTTGCACAATGAGCTTGGCATCATCCACTCAGATTTGAAGCTTGAGAACGTTCTCCTTGTCTCGACCATTGATCCCTCCAAGGACCCCATTCGTTCTGGGCTTAAACCTAACCTTGAGAGGCCTGAGGGAAACCCTAATGGTGAAGCTGGTCTTAATGCGATTGAGAAGAAGCTAAAGATGAGAGCAAGGAGGGTGCATGCAAAGCTTGCTGAGAAAAGAAAATCAGCTGTGGAACCTTCGCGCTCAGAAAGGAGATTGGATGGAATTGATCTTACATGCAAGATTGTGGACTTTGGGAATGCTTGCTGGGCCGACAAGCAATTTACAGATTTTATTCAGACACGGCAGTATCGGGCGCCAGAGATCATTCTAGGTGCAGGATACTCGTTTTCTGTTGACATGTGGTCATTTATGTGTATCGCTTTTGAGCTCGCAACAGGAGAAATGCTATTTACACCCAAGGAAGGTCACGGATACAGTGAAGATGAGGTATATATCGCATTCCTCATGAGCCTAGTTATTTTGTTCATCTTTGAGTTGGCTTCAATTATGCAGTGCATGCCCACAACCCCACTATAGAATTATCCAATTTAGTGAAGTGAAAAAGTAAGCACTGACATGGACACGCAGAAGTATGTCTAAACTCAGAAAACAACCATAGTCAACATGAATATACTTAGCATTAGAATTTGGAGCTGGACAAAATTTTTTTCCATTACCCCTGTAATCCTGTTTACCTCGAATAGCTACAACAAATAATATGTGCACCCAAAAAATATCAGGGGAATGGTTTTCCTTTCAGCCTTCAAGATAAAAAACTGCTAGTGTTCTCGACTTTGAATATTAGATTATTCGACAATATTCTGAAACGCCAGTTTCAATAGACATTGAAACTGAAGTTACATTTGGCATATTGGCATTATCATGAGCACTGAGAGCATGAAAGCTAAGCCTTGCAAACTCTAGTTGATTATTATCTTTTAGCCCTTTAGTTACTTTTATTGAGGACTGAAGGTTGTCTGCAGGATCACTTGGCTTTAATGATGGAACTACTTGGCAAGATGCCGAAGAAGGTAAGCCCAGCATTCCTTTTGCAATTCAATTCTTTGTTTCTGAAATATCAAGCTAACCTGTACAGTTTTCCAAATGAATTCAGATTGCAACCATGGGAACACGATCAAAGGAATATTTTGACCGCCATGGAGATCTGAAGCGGATAAGAAGGCTGAAATTGTCATCCATTGAACGTGTCCTTGTTGACAAATACAAAATTTCTGAATCTGATGCCCTGGAATTTGCCAGTTTTCTTTGCCCTTTACTCGACTTTGCACCAGAGAAGAGGCCAACAGCTTTAGACTGCCTAAAGCATCCATGGCTTCGATATAACGAGGATAAAGCTTGTGGTCCTCTTAACAATAATGATGCCAAGAACATTGATCTGGCCCAAAGCACAGGGAGTATCACCAGTGGTGACTGTACAAATATTGATTTGACGAGCAAAAAAAGCGGCCCCACTGGAACTTGTGATAAGACTGCTGATGCAAAATACAACACCAGAAGCATTACCAGCAATGCTTCCATGAACACTGATGTACAGCCCAATACTGGAAGCATTGTGAACAGACTTGCCAAAAATGTTGATGTAAATCCGAACATTGGTTCCATCACTAATAGAGATGCCAAGACTTCTGATATGAAGCCCCACATTGGAAGCATCACCATCAGTGACGCCAAAAGCTCTAATGCAAAGCTGGATACAGGTAACATCACTGATAGAAATGCCAAAACTGTCAATATAAAGCCCAACTCTGACAACATCTCCAGCAGAGATGACAAGAGCAGTAATGTGGACACCACCACTTCCAGTGTTGTCAACAAAGATGTGAAGCGCAGCATCAGAAGTGTTGTTAATTCTTATATCAAGAACTTTGATGCACAATGCAACACTGGAAGCCCTGCTAACAGTGATGCTCGGAACTCATCAAATATGAAACCCAGCACTAGAATTGTTAGCAGTGCTGATAATGTCAAGTGTATGGACATAAAACCGATCAGTGGAAGTGCTAAGAGCAATGACATCAGTCCTAAGAGCAATGACACCATCAATGCTAATGTGAAATCCAACACTGGAATTGTTGCAAACAGTGATGCCAAGAACACCGATGTACAGACTAACATTGGAAGTGTCGACAGCAGCGATGATTACAGCGTTGACTCAAAACCAAACATTGGTCGGGTTGCTGCGAGCATACAGAGGTTGGAGAGCAGCATGAGTAAAGTGCAAAGCGGGAAATACAGGTGATACATCACATGCTAGCGCTGACGAAATACCTATTTTCACTGGCTTGGATATATGTTCATTGTGGAGAGGCTCATTCTTTTGCATTAAATTTCTACTATTGATTTGATTGCCGAGGATAATAACTACTTATCCAGGGCCAACCTTCCTCAAGATTGAGGATCTGGCAGGTACCAGCTGGCGTTATTGTATATCTCCATTCCCGCTAACTGTACAAAGTTTTGTATTTGCCCACAAAACTTACACGGAGGTAAATATTCCCCATACATACCCTGGAACAAATTGTATTAATGCTCACAGATTGACTGCACTCAGAATTACATAGCAGTCTTTTGGACATTTTAGTGGGTAAAATATGGAATCTCTTTGGGAACATACTTGTATATGCAGTAGTAGCAGAAGATTGCTGTTCCTATTATGGTGGATGCACTGGAAAGGGAAGAATTACACTCTGACCAGTCACACGGCATCTCTCTTGATTATGTTCATATTCTGCTCTCAGTGAAGAAAAAAAAAAGAGATTTCATTATGTCATTTAACACGGATCACCATTTATCTGAGCAGGGGTGTCTGACATTTTTGTTTGGTTTATGGTTTGAGATTTGCTTGTAAAAAGCGGGACGTGTTTGTAAAACTATTCTTTGATGTTCATTTTGTAGTGAACAATCATATAGATGGATTTTTTTAACTTTGTGTTCAAACTATATCGGTGTTCAATTCTCGAAACATTTATCTTATTTGCAGAAGGCTAACACTATTAGCTTGAGCATTTGCTCGTCCATCTTAGTCAATCTTGTTGTGAATGTGGGATGTTAACTGGTACTACAAGGAAGGATTCAAATGGAACGATGATTCATGTATAGTTTGTACTCTATATATATGACATTCACGTAGTCCTAAAAATTACCTTCGATAACCAACTTTTGTTGTACAGTAAATGTATTCACGCAACAGCAAAATCGTACGATTATTGAACTACCTCCACAAACAATGAACTTATTGTTAATCAAATTTGACAGAGGTTGTCATAATTGTCGCTTATACAATTCACATTTACAGAGGCTGGTGATTAATATGGCCGCCTACGTAAATAAATAGATTAAAAAACAAAAAAGCATCGAGCAACGGCTTATTGAGCTTGAGCTCCATGGAACTAGCCCTGCCACCACCGTCCCTCACGTCCGCGCTACCGCCACCGTCACCCCTTGCAGTCATCACCACCTGCAACAACGACGGAACCACATGTGCATCAGCCGAGATGGAATGGGGTTGGGGCGGCATGATTCGAGCGATGTGAATCAAGGGGACCATGTACCTGGGGTTTTGGCCACAAATTGAGCTAGCACACCACAACTAGATCACAAGTGTCGCTGTTGTTGAGGTTAGTAGCGGATCCGGCCAAAATTCCACTGATGTCATAAGTACTACGTCATAGCTTAAGTTCACGTATGAGCATCAATTTGCAATGAAAATCTCAGGAAATCAATGAACAGGGCTGGCTCCGCCCCTGGTTGAGGTCGTCATAGTGCTTTGGAGGCGCGCCGAGACCGTTGGAGTGCCTCCTCCATCGAGGTTTCGCCGAAGCGGCTGTGGGGTGCCTCCACTATGTTGGGCTCCTAGATATCTAAATATCTAAATGTTGTGGAAGAGAGTATGAACAGTGTGGACATGGGTGAACATGCATTGAAAGTGGTGGATGACTAATCTGAATATCTAAATTTTTCATCATGTTGTGGGGTAGGCAATTTTGGTAAAATATCCACATCTTGTAATATGCAAAAATCTGATTCGCTCTTACACAGTGTCGACGAAATATGGTCGGCAGTCTACCTAGGAGTATACCCAAGGTAGTAGATTGTCGGCAGACAGATGCGCAAGCTACAAACAAGACAGTGACGCAAGACAGACACAAGATTTTATCCAGGTTCGGCCGCCAAGAAGGCGTAATACCTACGTCCTGCGTCTGATTTGTATTGTTGTATGTCAATGAGAGATGTTTTTTAGAGGGGTCCCCTGCCCGCCTTATATAGTTCGGGGGGCAGGGTTACAGATCTGGAAACTAATCCTAGCCAGTTACAATTGCCATATGTGGCCAGATAAGGATTCCTATTCTAACCGACCAGGATCTTGATTGATCGCCAAATCCGCCTTGACTCCTTGCGCGGGACTCCGATCAGGTTAACCGGGCCGCACGTCGTCTTTTGGTGGACCGAACCCATCGATCCGGGCCGGCCCAAGCTTAGCCATAAGGGTATAGGGGTTAATACCCCCACAGCTAGTCCCCGAGCACCATGTATTATGATGCGACACGCCATTTTAACCTTCTCCGACAAGTAAGGCTTGAGCCCTTGACGTCTCTGACCACCGTTGTCGCCGGAGAAGTCGGTTGTCCGAAGAATATATGGTGCTCTTAAGAAAAAAGAAAAAGATTTTCGTTCTGGGAAGTGTGCCCACTTGTATTTCTGAAAAGAAATGTAAGTGCGTCTTGAAGCGTAGCGTCCTTGATCATCAGAGGCGTAGGGGTCGAAAAACAAACACATTCACTGCAAGGTGAAGTGTGCCCACTTAGTCCCCGAGCCTGGTAGTAGGTGACGTAGGCACGTGGTGCCAGGGTCTAAAAAGAATTCCCAGTTAAGTAGAGAATCCAATCGTCGTACAGGCGATACGAGATGCACCGACAGGTGCATCGTACCGATGTAGTCCCTGAGCTTGCTGGAAGGCGAGGCATGAGCCTTGTAGCAAGGTCTAAATAAACGTCTCTCAACTGTATGTGAGTACAAATCACATGTAGCCGAGAAGAACGATCTCCGAGCAGTGGTCGGGACAGTCCCCGAGCACATTAGTACCCGAGAGCGCCCCCAAAGCGTGGCGATGGTGCAGGCGGTCCCCAGCTGCGGCGGTGGTCCGGCATCCCGAGCACTAGCAGCGGTGATCTGCGATCCCGAGCACGGCGGTGGGTCCGTCCATCATTGAGCTCAAGATATGCAGCCAAAAGAAAAGAACGCCGATTGTATTATTATTTGGTGTATTTATTTATCTCCTTACTCTGTCAAGTCCAATCTGCCACGTCTGGTCAAAAAAGCAGACGGATATAACATATCACTCTGCCTTCTTACTCTTTCTGACAAACAGTCGCTTGGCGCCTGTATGGAGGTGCGTCAGTGTGGGCCCTCTCACATTATCAACAAAGATGCGCGTACATTGGAAACGAAGAAGCGCGTTCTTTGGCGTGATCTCTCGAGGTTGTGAAAACAACCGTCTGCGGCATGCGTCTTGCCGCCCCCAAGAATCTCGGGCGGGCAAAACAGCGGGAGCCCTTGGTTATTTATAATATAGAGCTGGTAAGTTACTTTTTACCGATCCCCATTGTCATTCACCGCCGCAACCTTCTTCTTCCTCTCGCGAACCCTACTCCTCCGAAAATCACCACCAATCCCTCCTCCACCGCATCCACCCTCTTAACAAGGGCGGATCAATGGCGAAGAGAAACGCCCGAAAGAAAGGCGGAGTCATGGCGAAGAGTGGTGGGAAGTCAAGGAGCAATGAGCGGACCATTGAAGACCTCATCGCCATGGGGAGTGCTCCACAACAAGGCACTTTCATGGGGATGGCATCGCCGGAAGGAGAAAGCTTCCCCGATCCACAACCAGGTGAGATTGTGGTTTTCGAGGATTTCTTCAAGCGGGGTTTTGGGGTTCCAGTGCACCCTTTCCTTCAGGGGCTCTGCTTATATTACGAGATTGGGATTTGCAATCTGCATCCCAACTCGATTCTTCTTGTCTCCACCTTCATCCATCTTTGCGAAGCTTATGGTGGCTTCCAGCCCCATTTCGACCTCTTTCGCCATCTGTTCTGTCTGCGGAAGAAAGGGAGCGGAGGCTCAAAGATAGCCGGAGGCGTATACCTCAATCTACGTGACGGTATGAAGGCCCAGTACCTGCACTGCCCATGGAACACCTCACTGGACGAATGGTACAAGAAATGGTTCTACATCCACGAAGAGCCGAACACGATCACCCTGTGTGACGTGGGGTTGATTCCGGAGAAGAAGAACAGCTGGTCGGAGAAGCCCGAGCACTTGGAGCAGATCACAGAACTGCTCGGGTTGATCCCGTGGGGAAAACTGGATGGTCCAAGCGTGGTCGGGAACTTCATCAGCCGAAGGATCCAGCCCTACCAAAAGAGGGTACATCCTGGCTTCGAGTACCAGGGTAGCGCAGATCCGACGAGGACCAGAAAAGAGGCGCTCGACAAGATAGAAATCAAGGCCAGAATTGGGGAGCTATTCAATCTAGCCGACCCCAATTATGTCAGGTTAAACAACATCGAACACGCCTTCAAGCTGGCCCGACCTCCCCCAATGGTAAATGATGCCTCCTTGTGCCTATAGATTTATGTTGCAACAAAAAATTTGACTGTTGTCTCCTTTATGTTTCCCAGAGTAATGGTCATGACCGAAAGCGAAGATTTCGTGTCTCCGCCCCTGGCGTGGATTGGCCGCAAATTGCCGCTCAACCGCCCATCCGATGCCGATCAAGACGTCGATCGGCGATACTCGGAGTTGGGGAGGATGTAACGGCCAAGGTCGCTAGCAAGCGCCGACGCCAACAAACGTCGCCAGTTATCTTCCCCTTCGCATTTACGAAACAGAGGATGCGGACATCTTCGACTCATCCCTTGAAAGAGGAGGAGACAAATGGGGTCAACAGGCGGGTAGCTCCTCTGTGCCCGCCGGTGATCGCACCACCGACCACTGCAACACAGAAAACAAGCGAGGAAAGTGTCAAGCACCAAACCCCGACGCCAGTACCGGTGGTGAAAAAAGACCCGGTGGAACCCGCCGAGCACGTGGAGCAGGCGCGGTCAAAGAGACGTTCCTTCACCACGTTATTCCGTGCTTCCAAGCTGTAAGTATCTGTAACCTTGATATAATATTATAATTTGTATTGAATACTATTGTCTTCTGAACTTTCTCTGGTGTATTAGGTCGGCGTCCACCAAAA